TACCTCTTGCTGGAGCTTTTGGCTCAAGGTACAGATCAGGCCTTGGCTTTGCTGCCGGCCTCTTTTCGGCAAATTGCTGCTGCTTTTTGTTGTCTTCTCACTGGGGCTACCTCTTGCTGGAGCTAGATGTCACCGTAGCCATTTTGGCTCAAGGTACAGATCAGGCCTTGGCTTTGCTGCCGGCCTCTTTTCGGCAAATTGCTGCTGCTTTTTGTTGTCTTCTTGCGCACTGGGGCTACCTGTTGCTGGAGCTAGATGTCACCGTAGCCATTTTGGCTCAAGGTGCAGATCTTGGCCTTGGCTTTGCTGCCGGCCTCTTTTCGGCAAATTGCTGCTGCTTATTGTTGTCTTCTTCCTTGCAGCGCACTGGGGCTACCTCTTGCTGGAGCTAGATGTCACCGTAGCCATTTTGGTGGCTCAAGGCCTTGGCTTTGCTGCCGGCCTCTTTTCGGCAAATTGCTGCTTTTTATTCTTCTTCCTTGCAGCGCACTGGGCCTACCTCTTGCTGGACCTAGATGTCACCGTAGCCATTTTGGCTCAAGGTACAGATCGGGCCTTGGCTTTGCTTCCGGCCTCTTTGCGGCAAATTGCTGCTGCTTTTTGTTGTCTTCTTCCTTGCAGCGCACTGGGGCTACCTCTTGCTGGACCTAGATGTCACCGTAGCCATTTTGGCTCAAGGTACAGATCAGGCCTTAGCTTTGCTGCCGGCCTCTTTTCGGCAAATTGCTGCTGCTTTTTGTTGTCTTCTTCCTTGCAGCGCACTGGGCCTACCTCTAAGTTGGTAAGGTTCATAAAGGTTCCAACGCAACAACCTGCCTCTAGTCAGTGCCTCTCTCTCTTTTTTAAAAAACAACCTGCCTCTTAGAGGCGGCGGCCATTGTTTCAACCTGCCTGTCTTTTGCCCGTGTACTGCCTCCACCACAGGGGAAGTAAGGATTATATTACGAGTATATTAAATGGGAGCCTTGAAAAAGTAAAAGATTCATATGTCGTTGTATGTGTCATGTATTGTTTATTTCTATTTTATGAGCAAGCAAGACATCGCACGAAAAAAACAGGGGCTCCGCTTGCAGTTATCACCAAATATGAAAGGGCTCGGGAAGTGAAAGCAATGAAGCCAAGCAGCAGAAATGAACGGGTTCTGTTTCTGTGAGAACAAAGAGAAAACGAAACAGACATGACGAGGGCCCACGTTATTTAGAGGAGACAGAAACTATGGGGCCCAATTTATCTAAAACAAATGGGAGAGGAGACAGAAACTGTGGGGGCCCAACCAAAACAAATCGGAAATGAAGGGGGCCGAAATGATTCGAATGCAAAGACCAATGCGTGCAATTAGTGATACTGTGCTTCTAAATCAAGCCTTTCAATATTGATTCATTTTATGATACTTGGCGCGTGCAATATTGAGCTGAACAGGATGGGACTAGAGGCAGGCTCATAGTGATCGTCGCAAGAAAATACAACCAAACAACACAATGGGCAGGCTGAAACGAACAAGGTTTGAGTTTGGAAGCAGGTTCATAATGGTCAGAATACAGAACAAATCAACCTCAGTCCACATCCACAGCCGGCTCTCTCTTGCGAGCCCCGGGAGGCTTAGCCAGGGCCCACATCTCCTTGCACAGGCGTGTCTGTGACTCTGCCCGGTAGAACTTTGTCTGGACCTGGGCACTATGGCCAAGGAAATGGTCTAGCGTTGCGTCATTGCAAATCTTGGGAGCGTCAGCTCGGTTCAAATGGCGCTTGAGGCGGTCCTCAAAAGCGCGACGCACGTCATTAGACGTGGCCCGAGAAACGCGATCGATTTGCTTTCGCAACGTGTCCTTGCTAAAAAAAGTTGAACAGGGGGACTTTGTTCATTCCAGCTCTCAGCCCCCCCTCAATGCTGGCGTCTCCGAATTTCGCCCTCAGAATTGGCACGTCCTGCGCAGGGTTTGTTGGGATCTGGAACCATTGTAAGAATTAAGGCGGAGGCAGGTTGAAGCGGTTTTGAGGGAGGCAGGTTTAAAAGCGCGCGAACATAAGCATGTTGGAAAGAACTGAAGGCAGGTTGAAAAGAACGCTATTGGAGGCAGGTTGAAACAAATCCCGTGTTCGCAGTCCTTGTCAATGTACGACTTCAACAACGCGGTCCACCGAGGCGGCAGGAACTTCCGAGCAACCATGTACTTCATGGACATCCTCAATTTGGGCTCCCTTTTGGTTGGGGTCGCGCCAACCGGCACGAACACCGTGACCCCGTCGTTCCTGATCAGCAAATCCCGGTTGACCTAAGGACCAAGAAGGGTGCTACCTGTGAGTTTTAATTGCA